CCCTGAACCTCTCCCCTCCACCTGCAAGATTTATGACTCTGGGGGGTCGCTGCACGGCCACTCAGTTTGAGGACAATTGTGCTACAGTTGTGTGACGCGGTGGCACAGTGTGTTTGCATCAGGTGCTGAGGGGAGCGGAGCTGACCTGGTCGAAGGTTGGACCAAAATTTAAAATAATTATTTCCTTTTAAGAAAATAACGACAAATAAAAAAAATGACGTCCAATGCCAACAATCCAAACGTTAAATCATCGCCGTCGAACAAACACATCCACTTATTCCCCATGTTGGTGAGATGGTTTACATGTGTTGACCTATCACAGGGCTCCATTTATTTCCAGCTGCTTCTCAGTCTTTAAAACCAGAAATGAATGGAGTATTTATAAAATAAAAATGTTTAAATTTTTTTTCCCAAATAAAAAGCTTGAGCTTTCTCAGACTTGAAAAACTCTAAGTACTAGAGTACTGAAATATATATATATGTATATCCAGTCAAAAAACTTTTTTTTTTGCCCTGAAACAAACAAAACAAATCAAGTATATAAATTTGTTTAATTACCGATACTTCTTTAGGTTTAGCTTTTATTTGATATGCAACGAGCTCTGATGGCCTTGAAGGCGTAGCTTAGCTTAGTCCAGGGTCCAGAGTCCAGAGTCCAGAGTCCAGAGTCCAGAGTCCAGAGTCCAGAGTCCAGAGTCCAGAGTCCAGAGTCCAGAGTCCAGAGTCCAGAGTCCAGAGTCCAGAGTCCAGAGTCCAGAGTCCAGAGTCCAGAGTCCAGAGTCCAGAGTCCAGAGTCCAGAGTCCAGAGTCCAGAGTCCAGAGTCCAGGGTCTAGAGTCCAGGGTCCAGGGTCCAGGGTCCAGAGCAGTACTGCAGAGAGAAACTTGTCTGTCTTCAGTTTCAGGACGAAGTTTCACTTCTTCAGTTCAAAATCAAGGGACTTTCCAGTGAAGGAGTAAATGAGGGAGGAGTCGTCCAGCCATGTCTGGTCCATTTCTATAACGACGTTCCGTCCCCGTCTCCATGGTTGGATCGCTCTCAATCCTTCTCCAAACTATCTGTACTTCAGTGCGGTGCTGTTGGGAGAGCAGCCAGATTGGCTATATTTGAATTAAAGTTCAGTCGACCGACAGAACTTTAATGAACAACAATACTGATAGTCCATGTCATTAATTTCCACGGGACTTTATTAATGTCACTGCTTTCTGCCGTCTCACATTTTCCTCCATTTTGTTTCATGAATCACGTTTACGTCGATGAAGTTAAAAAATGTCAACTCGTCTTTTTTGGTTACTTTTTTTTCTCACCAGTTGGTTAAACATTTCAAACAGGATTAACAAACAAAGTGGAGAAATATATTGCAGAAATACAAGTCGACCATCAACTACACTGAAGTACTATTGGAATACTACCTGCCTGGAATACTACCTGCTGTGGCCTGTGGTACTTCTTTATGACGCTAACGTTGTGTCTCAGACGAGGAGACCAATTAGATTTCAGACAGAGTCTTCACCGACCTGGTTTTGTTCTCAAAGTCTCTGAACTTCCAGTGAAGGAACTCAGTCTCGATGTCACAGATACCGACTTCATTGTTAACAAGTTTTATTCTCGTCTCGCCTTAAAACGCGCTGAAACTAATTAGCGCGAAGGACGTTTGACTTGGTGAATTAGCTGAACTTCCGAGGATTTGTTGCTCCATCAGTTCTGCTGAATGGACCATTGTTCCTCCGTCACTGCTTTTTCAACACACTCTTTGGTTCCTTTATTGATAGGTTGATACACGAAGGTGTCGCCCCCTCTTGACCCGACCCAGGATGAGGTTTTACCATCGACCCTGTCGGATGTTTGATCATTCTTCTACCTATCGTTAAGTCATGGAAGTTTAATGAAAGACCACGAACAGAGTGAATTTTAAATGGCCGAGCGTCGACGGCAGATACGTGGACGTTGTGTTTTCAAGAGAAGTCAAGAGGTGGCAGTCATCGCACCACGCCGTCTTAGAGCCGACGGGTCGAGTTTCAGAAATAAATAGTGCAGGAGTGGAGTGGACGTGTTTCTGATCAGATGGAGAACGAGGTCGCGCTTCAACCAGGAGGAGGCGCTTCATCGTCCGCTCTGACCTTTTACACCTGCAAGGACAGTTCAAGTGTGTGTGTGTGTGGTTCGGAGTATGAGCTGATCAAATATGTCCGCGCCCCGGCCGACTGACGGAGGCAGATGCGAAATGTGAAAAACATTTACATAAGCGTCAAATGTCAAAAGTTCACCGCCGCCCGGCTCACGTCTAACGTGACAAACAACTTCCTCCTCCGGTTGTATTGTTCTAATCCCTTCAGCGGCTCTGGGATGGAAATATAATTACATTTCTGCGGCGCGGCACCTTTGATAAGGCAGCCGGTGGCTGAGCGGAATGTCTAACCGAGTTGGACGCCTCCCCGACGCTCGCTCTTCTCCCCACTTTATTTCCCTTCCCTCCTCTGATGGTCTTGTCTCCGCTCCAATCTTCTCTTCTGTTCCAACTTCCGTAACTCTTCTCACCCTGTTTCACTTTCCCTCTTTGTTCTCTCTCACCCACTTACTCTCCCTGTCATCTGTAAAAGGCCATTCTGACCCTTACTCTCTCTCTCTCTCTCTCTCTCTCTCTCACCCACCCAGGTATTGCGGTGGATAAAAGAGGCGTCGTCTACTTTGTGGACGGCACCACCATTCAGAAGATTAATGAGAGGGGACTGCTCTCCACCGTGATTGGCTCCAACGGACTGATGTCGACGCAGCCGCTAAGCTGCGACGCTCGTATGGACATCGGTCAGGTAAGCTAATAACGCGGCTCGATTGAAATGGACGATGGAGCGTCGGAGCCAAGTTTTACTTTGAAAAAAAAAAAGAAAAGAAAAAAAAAAGCAGTGTTTCCTGGGATTACAGTGTTTTTACATCATCTCTACTCCATAAATCGGAGGCTTTTTAACGTTAAAATAAAACAGAGCGCGGTCACAAGTCTAAATATTTATCTGTTGTTCCTTCCTGGCCGGCGATTGTTGTGTAAATCTGAAATCCCCCGACTCTTTTATAGAAACTCTTGGAGACTCTGTAAAGGTGTGTGTGCGTCTCTTTGTGAGAGCGAGGCCGCCAGATTAGACACAAAGAGTCGCCGCCCAGATTTGATCAGACGCCGTTGAGATCAGACTGCTGACTTATATCAGACCTATTAGAGCGGAGGATGAATTATTGATGAAGTGCCGGCTCCGTGGCGTTATTTCTGCACTCACGTGGGAATGTGATTTACCGCGGACGCACCTGTGTGTGGACTTTAAAAGGACTAGCGTCCCTCTCTCGCTGTGACTTTTCTGTCGGCTCAGTGCGGTTGGACTTATGGCTAATGATCAGAATGAAGAGAATGAAGAGGGAAAAGGCCTCTGGTGCAGTTAAATGAAGTCAGCGTGTGAAGGTGGAAATACCACGATGTGACTAATGAAATTTTGTGCGTCTGATGAAAATGAGTTATTCTTCAGAAAGGACTTAAAAGTCACCAGTGAAATCCCTGTTTCTGCCTGTTAGTCTGTAATAATCAGCGACTTCTGACTTTTTATCTACTGAGCCGAATTTAAACATCTGGGACGAACTCACGCTCACTGTGATTGGCCGTCAGCAGTCGGACTGTGACATCACTCCACACATGGTCCTGTGTTTCCGACAGTAAAACAAACCAAAAAAATTAAAATGTTCTGCTCATTAACCAGTAGGGGGGTGTATTGGATCTAACGATAATGATACAATACAACGATACGATATATTGCGATATATTGCAATACTATAAGCATGACGATATATTGATATCATCATCATAGTGAATGAACCAACACCATGAATATTCTATATTAATATAAAGATATATACTATAAAAATAAGAATCTCTCAGTTCCGACCAGTGGCTGAGTTTGTTTTGTTTTGTTTTGTTTGTTCTGAGATTTTCATCCTTTTAATTTGATCACATGATGGTCGTCGTCCACGAGGAGTCAAGCCTTTAAATCATTTACCTCCTGAGATCAACGCCAGCAAATTGACGTTTACATAATTTATTATTTATTTACTCATTTATTCCATTGGCTTTTTTTACGTCTCACACACACACACACACACATAGACTATTATAATCAATAATCTGGACCTAATCCTGGTCCTGAATCAGTGAGAATCAACTGGCAGCCCGTGGACCAGATCTGGTCCAGGACTGGATTCCAAAACAAACATTAAATAATAATGTGACTTAATTGGAGTGTCTGTCCGACTCCTGACGAGTTCTTCTACCTTGAAGTGAAGAGGATCACAGAGCCAAGCCTCTCCTCCACCACCTGGGGGCGCTGTAATTGGACACTTTATTTACCGATCTGAAGTCATCAGTCACTGCACTGATCCCTGGACGGACACGGACGGTCACAGTGAAGCGGTGACCGTCCCCCCCACGGTGTTACTGGGCGACGGGGGCAAATTAAGCAGTCGGTAAATATAACTGGTGGCTGACATTTATCCCC